GGGTAATCCAGGGATGAATTTTTTACTCTTCAAAAAAAAAAAAAACGCCTCCCGTGCCTTTTAAAACACTGATTCAGATGTAATTCCTTTCAGATGTCATTGCTATTGTTTTTCTATTTTAGTTGTTTTGTATAGTGAGGTGCCAGCTTGTCAGCACTTGGATTGTATTTCTTTCTTTTTTTTTAATGAAATTTCTCTTTTTATTCTTCAAAAAAAAAAAAAAGATTTGGAGTAAGCACATCCTGCCTAAACTTCAAGCTTTTTGCTAGGAGGTTTTCCTTGGAAAGATAAATACTTGTGATATGCTGCAGAAAAGAAGGCCAAATAAATGCCTCTCTCCAAATATGTGCTTCCTTTGTAAAGAAAGCGGTAAAACTATCTCCCATTTACTAATCTCCTGCCCTTTTGTTCATTTTCATTTGGGGATAGTTTTGTTCTTCTTTGGGTGGAGGTGCCCCCTCTGCTAAGATGTGGCAAGTCTCTTTAGCTCAAGTTTTTTGAGGCAGCCAAAGGAAAGAGGGAGAGTTTTGTGGAAGACAGTTAGGGCAGCTTTGCTGTGGACAGTTTGGGAAGAAAGAAATGGAAGAATCTTCAGTGGAAATAGCAGATCGAAGAAGGAACTATTAGTGTCAATAAAGATCAAAGCAGCACATTGGGTAAAAACAATGGAAAGTTTTCAAGACTTCTCAATGAATGATATTAAAAGAACTTGGGCTGAAGTGGCACAATCAGCTAAGGTGAAAAACAGGTCGGTTATGGAGTGGAAACCTCCACCAGGTAACACAATAAAGATGAATTTTGATAGGAGTTCTATGGGTAATCCAGGGCTGGCAGGTGTGGGGGGTGTTTTCAGAGATTCATCAGGAAGGGTGATGGCTATGTACTCAGGACCTATCAGTGTTGGTGATTCTCTGAAAGATGAATTGATAGCCTTATTACAAAATCTTAGATTAGAAAAGCAACCCAGATTCTGTGTTTTGGAAGTAGAGGGGGACTTAAAATTGATCACTTGGGTAAAAGGCATTTGCATGGCCCCGTGGATGTATAGGCACATTTTCAGAGAAATAGAAGTTCTGTCAAGGGAGTTAAGCATCTATAATTGCATTAGAAGAACTGCAAATGGAATGGCTGATTCATTAGCAAAACAAGGGGTTAATAGAGTTAGCTTATTTTGGGCCTTAGTTTGAATGATGTGTAACTTGGATTAATAGACTATACCTGACTGTACCAAACTCTTCATATAATTAATGAAACATTTCTACTTTACTGATAAAAAAAACACATGGTATCAACCCGATTGGTGTTTAATGCCCTTTTGGACTTCTCCTATAGAGAACTTCTCTACACATCAAAGGAAAGAAAAAGGACTGGTCACCCTTTAGCTAAGAATGCTTCCATGCCTTGGGTTGCAGTTGCTCATGTGTTCTTGGTGGTTTTCTAAGCACTGTCTAATCAGCAAGTCGAAGAGGGGCAGGATTGATGGTTTGATTGGTTGCAGTGTCTTTCAATCAGTTTGTGGTGGTAGAGTGATGTGTTTGGGTGCGGAAAAAGTGTTATTTTGTGTTTATATGGTCAGTTCATGGTTCCGGTGAGTAACCCACTGTTTTTGGTGTTGAGAAAACTAGGTGTATTGGGTGTTCAGAGGTGATTAGTTGTAAGAAGACTGAAGAATCATTTGTTTTAGTAGTTGATCACCGCTTAAGTATTTGAAGACTTATGGCTGCATCAACTAGTGATTCCAAATCTGCTGTTGTGTTAGAATATGATATTATGAATACTCAATTGACTACGAAGCTTAATGGTACAAATTGTGTACCATGGGCCAAATCAGTTCAAGTGTTTTTGATTGGTTGAGGTAAGCTGGTATATATTAAGGAAGATAAGTCGAAGAGTGGGTTTGATGGGTTCAATGAATGGGTGCAAGAGATTGCATAGGTTATGACATCACTATGGAAATAGTATGGAAAATCAAATTAGTATAAATCTTATGTTTCTTGACACAACTAAAAAAATTTTGGATCATGCCAAATAGTTGTATTCTGGACAAGACAATGTAACAAGAATCTATGAATTGTATCAAGAATACTTCACCCTTCAACAAGGTGATAAGATTGTAGATGAGTATTATGCAGCCCTGAAGAACTTGAAAAATGAACTGAATGTCTATCAGCCTTTACCTTACAGATTAAAAGGTTCAACAAGAACAGAGAGAACACTTGAATGCTGCAAGGTTCTTGTTTGGATTGTGGGCAGAATTTGAACCTATCTAGGCTCAGGTTTTGGGTAGTAATAATCTCCTAAATCTATTGGTCATGGGTTTATAGACAATTATGGTGGAGGTAGAGAAAGAGGAAGTATCAGAGGAGGTGGTAGAAGTGGTGGTGAACGTAGGATAGTTTGTGAGTGTTCTCATTGTGGTTGTGAAAGCCATACAATTAATTTTTGCTATGGTTTGCATGGCCCACTATCTATTTGGGCAAACCATGCTGCAGTAGGGGATAATCTTTGCTACAATACCTCCACAATTGAGACACCTGTTCAAGGAGGTGGTGAGGACAAGGAGTTGATTTCTATTACGTGTGAGGAGTATGATAGACTTCACTAATCCTCTTCTTCTGATACTACTATTCTTGCTACATCAAGTATAGCTTACTTTGCCTCCAAAGGTCACATGATTGGATCTTTAGACCTGTTTATGTATTCGTCTTCTCCCTCCACACCTCAAAATGTTACTTAGCTAATGCTACTACATCTACTACTGGTACTAGTAATGTGTCTTTTGGTTCTATTACTTTACATTTTTTCTTTTGTGTACCCAAATTTCCCTTCATTCTTCTATCTATAAGTAAACTTGACCTCTTAATTGTTTTAGTCACCTTTTATCCCTCTTATTGTGTTTTTTAAGACCTCAAGATGGGGAAGTTGATTGGTGGCGGGTGTGAAATTGGAGGACTGTGCTACCTAGATGACAATGATTTTTTTTTGATAAGTAGAAAGAAAAATTCACTAAAAAAAGAAAACAAACGAATACAACCTAGGACGGTGTTGAGAGAACACCTCCAAAGGATCTAAAAGAAACAATAAGTAGCCAAAACCCAGCAAAAGGCCCCCATAACAAACAGACCCCAAACATCAAGCAGCCCAACTAGCCCATGAACAAATAAACAACAGACAAAAACCCGCGAGTAGAACAAAAAGTAGCCTCAACAACAAGCCAGCTGAGCCCAACAACCATGGACCTCCAAGTCTCACCCTCTCAACTGCATCACTACCCAGTACCCACATCTTCCTTTACTCTTCATCAACGGAATCTGACTCCTTTCCTTCTCCTTCCTCCCAATTCTCACCCCCTTCCCCAACTATGCTTCTCTTGTTCTTTTCCTGCCTTCTATTTTGTTCAAATTGCTCGATTGCCTTCCTCACCACTGCTTCTCCCCCTAAAAAGAAAAGGGCAAGAGACTTCCCAACTGCTACTTGTTTATCAACTAGTTTATCAATATTGACTCTTTTCTCAATGCTGACATCCTCAGTAGCTTTATTCCCTCCTATCTCCTTCTCCCCTCTCTGTTTTCCTCTCCAATCATTTCCTAGTCACTTCCTTTTCTCTTTGTATTCCTCTCTAATCATCCATTCCTAGATGTCCTTCCTCTTCCCCAATAGATATTGGAAGCTTTTCAAAGTAATTTGCTTGAAATCTTTTACCATTTTTGCCCTTAGGAACATAGCTGAATCCTCCCTCATCCTTCTTCCTCCCTTGAATGACCTTCCACAAGTAGGAAACCTCTCTGGTATCCACGTTTCAGTTGGACATCACAAACAACCTTTGGAGGAGACGAGAATAGACCATTCTTGCCATCTATAGGATATGACGCAACAAAGGTCATGTGCTCTATAGCCTTGTCATTTTGGTTATAAACTTCTTTTGAAGCGCCTGACCCCTTCGGCCTAACTCAACAACCCAAGAGATTGGATCCGTCTCGCCCATTCATTCTTAGCACCGCCTCTTCATCTTCCTTATTTTGAACCTGGCAAACCTTGTTTGGTGATTTGCAAAGTTCAGACATGATTCCCCTCCCTTGTTCTTGAACTTCTCCCCCCTCTCTCCTCATCTTCTGCTTGTAAACACACATGCCACATCATCATCTTCCTTAGGCAAATCAGTGATTCTCCATAGCAACGCTTCAGCTTCTGACGCGATCCAAACTCTGTGCAAACAACCATCCGCCTACAACTCCACTGACCTTGGAATGAACTTAGGACGGACCTCCGATAATCTCATTCCTGTAGCATGAAGATCCTGAACATCCAAATCAACCAGCTTTCCCCCAATGGCCTTTGCAATATTTTCGAATACTCCTTCCTCCCAAAGTTTGAAAGGAAGAGCCAGACAATGTTTTAAAATGTGGAGGTGTGGCGTGAAGCATTCCACTACCTAGAGGCTTGAGGCATAGTTTAAAATGTAAGAGGCATAAGCCTCCTGAACACAAGGAGGCATAGGCCTACTTAAGAGGAGGGGGGATGAGGAGGAAGGAAGGAGCAGAGGAAGGGGGATCTCATTTTTTCTTTATTTTTAATAAAAATCTTTTATATTAAGAAGAATGAAGATGTGTATCACTAGTTAAAAGGGGGGGGGGTCTTGTCGAAGCAGAGGCGAGTGAGCCGAAGCGGAGCCATTTTATTCGTCCTTGTTATTTTATTTTATTAATTTTTTGCACAAAGTGGCCACTTTGAGACCCGAACCTGCGTTCTCATTCTTGCCAGCCTGAGATTTTGTACCATTGCACCAAGCAATTGTCCCTGGACTTGCTTATAAATTCTAATGTAGACTAGTGGCTTCTATGTAGAAAACTTTTAAATGTCATTTGGTTCAACCTTACAAGTCAATGTACCAAACTACCCTACTTGCTAAGTAATTTATGATAATATGGTTATGGCATGCAAAGCTTTTCTTTTTTTCATTCTTTTTGTAGTTAGCTTAATTAATTTCTCCCCTTTAACAGGAAATTATGAAGGAAACAATGGAGAAACTACCATATATGAAGGAGCTTATTGATATCTACAGTGGTCCTGATAGGGTAACTGGAAAGCAACAACAACAGGAGTTGGAAAGAGTTGCAAAAACTCTCCCTGAAAATGTGCCATCATCGGTAAAGTGTTTCACTGACCGTGCTGTTCTGTCTCTTCAGGTTTGCTCTCATCCTTGTACATTCCCAGAATATCTGCTGACTATGCATATTGTTCATTGGGAGGTTGCTTTACTTCCCAACTCCAAATCCAAGAGCTTGAGAGGCTGGATGGATCAACTATTGACATGGTCGACCTGGTGTAACTGTTTGATCCAGCTAGGTTCTGTTTAACAAAATTGTTAAATTATTTCAAGTCATAAAAGCAAGGCCTGGCAACATGGGTGTTAACGTAGAGCTGGTTGATAGTAGACTAGATTGATGGGTAACCTTGCTTTAAAAACCAGCTAAGTATTCTCCGAATTTAGGGGAGAATTTAGAGAATTGTTGCTGGTTTTCTTCTAGTAGCAAAAATTTACCAGAAAATAACAAAGAAAAAAAGAAATCATGTGTTTCTCCTATACTAATTTCAAGAGAAAAAGTGAGCATCCACTGAGGAAAAAAAATTAACTCATTTGGTTCTGTTGTTATGGAAAGATTTATGCGTTACCTTTCGAAAAAAGGGATTTATATGTATTTATTTAACTCAAAGCTTTTACTGAAATAGAAATTTGGTATTTACTAAAAGTGCACTTGACTCCTAATTAGAATCCCAGAAACTTCCAATAATAGAAACTTAGAAAATCAAAGTAGCAGTTGGCTCAAACTAATAGTTTCCTAGACAAAATAGAAACTACCAACTATGAACATTCCAAAAAACAAGGAAGAAACAATAACTTGTTTTAAAACATATAAATAGAAAACATCTATTTAGACACTGTTAGCATCAAAATTTGGGCACAACCATTGATTCCTTCATCTTTCATATGTTTTAGTAGCTTTGGGGTTTAAAACTCTCCAGAAGTTGATTTGTTGTATTCTTTATTGCTATACTACTGAAGGCTGAACTGTCTCAGTTACCCCCTCTGAAAAGAATTCACCCTTAATTTCTCTGTCATGCTCCTTGTAATAAGTAAGTGAAAGATGCTTCAGATTGTGACAGTGATTTGCAAATGTGTTGATCCTTGCTAGAACCTCACAAGACCAATGCTTATTTAGAGGGTGTTCAACGACATGGTTTTGTTTTTGTTTTTTTATCAATAACAGGAATTCATTAAATTAATAAGAATTAGTTAAAGCACTCCAGAGAGAGATAAAAGGTGTAACTCTCTCCAAGAGGACAACAAAAAACAAAACAACTTATAATACAGCCCAAAACATTTGGTCCCTTCCCACCCCCTGCTTTGCCAAAGCATCTGCAAATGCATTTGCTGTTCTCTTCACCCACTGAAATTCGATTGCCCTCACTACTACCATCAAAATTTACCTTTATAACACCACAGCCTGGTGGTGACCACACAGGACAAACAGAAGAGCAAGCAGGAGCAGAATTAGCCACCTCCATCTAGCTGTTCAACAACATATCCATAGAAATATCATTAAACAGGTCCAAGGATTTTAGCCAGTGCACCACCCTAACTGTTATTACTTCAAAATACTTTCATTTTTCAATTTCAGAAAAAGTTCTGGAGTTCCTTTCCTGCCATAGAGTCCAGCAAATAGCATCCCTCACACACCTCCACATAATCCTTTCCCTTTTCTTTGGCCATCGAAGGAACAAAGAGCTAAACAACCTTTGAATATTTGGCGGTGGGGTCTACCTGCAACCAAAAAGGGAAAGAAACCAGTCCTAAATAACAACAACAAAAGGGTAGGGGTTTTCACCATTAGCCTTGCAAAGAATGCACCAATTCAGAGATGAGCACCAAAAAAGCCTTTTTCTTTGTAGTAAGTCACACGTATTACACCTTTCTAGGAAGGCTTCCCAACAAAAGGCTCGAATTAGCTCACCTGAAACTTCCTTTACTGGAAAATTTTGTGCAAAGTTACTAGCAAAGGCAAGAGGGACTTAAAGAAGAAAGCACAAGAGGTCCCGGAGGGAGCTAGGGTCCACAGTCTCTTATCCCTCTCAAAGGGATCCAACACCACCCCATTTAAAATCTGAACCAAATTCATGACATTTTCTACTTCTTCATCCCTTAGGCCTCTTCTAAACCCCAAATCCCAATCAAACCCGAAGTGAGACTGAGAAGGAACTAGAAAACTAGACACAACCTTGCCTTTATACTAGGAGAGGGAAAACAAGGAAGGGAATTGGTCTCTCAAAGGTACATCACCCACCCAAATGTGCTTCCAAAATTTTACTTGATTCCTAGAGCAGAGGTCATACCTGATGTGCTACAGAAAAGAAGGAAGAATGGTATGTATAGATTTCCAAGGAGAGGCTCCAATAGATCTTGCCAAATTCCCAATGTCCCAGCCATCATTTGCCTGACCATGAATACTCAGAATTACCCTAGCCCACAACTTATCCTTCTTACCTTCCAAGCTCCACAGCCATTTCCCCAAAAGAGCTTCATTTTCTTCCTAATGTTACCTGATCCTAACCCTCCCTCAGCCCCGCTTTTAGAGACCATTTCCCAATTCACCCTATGATCCTTCCTCTCCTCCCTTGGTTCCCACGACATGGTTTTGTTTTTGATAAGAAAAACAACTCCCATGTCAGCAAAAACAATATAATTTTGCTGATGTGGCAGCTGTTTTTGTTTTCAAAACAAAACAAACCATGTTGTCGATCACCTCCTTAGGTTTTGGAAAGTGTTGAAAGAGTTGCTTTACTTGTGTTTATTTTCATTATTTATAACAGTATTTTCATAAATGGCAGCAATATTGTTATTTTGATTTATCATGAGAGAAGAAAACCAGTCCAAGAATTTCCTACTTGTATAATAAGAAAAATGAGAAGGGAGAAGGGAGAAAGAGCTGTTCAAGAGAAAGAAGAAGTTGGAAGAAAAGAGGAAGAGAAGAGAAGAGAAGAGAAAAACATCCCTCTCTCACTCCTTTAGTCTCCTTATATATGTGCTGGATTAATTTAAAGGAGAAATTACATGGGTCCCTTGGTTAGGCGGCTGACCCAATAAACATAAGAACAATGTGTTAAGGGCCCATAAAGACAGCTCATTATAGTAGAAATAAAACAATAAACAGCTGAACTAAAGCAAGGCCCATTCAGCCACCAAACTAAGGTCATTTGACCTAATCTCTCTACATTCTCCCTCAAGCTGAGCATAGATGTCAATCATGCCCAACTTGCTTATATAGTGTTGGAGCTTTGCCTTAGGTACTCCCTTGGTCAAGTTGTCTGCCAGTTGTTCCTTTGAAGAGATGAAAGGGAGGCACACTTCTCTCGAGGCCACTCTCTCTTGTATGAAGTGTTTGTCCACTTCAATGTGTTTGGTCCTATCATGTTGAATTGAGTTATGAGCAATGTCAATGGTACCTTGATAATCACAATACAATATACACATTAGCGGCCTTCATAATAAATTCCCATCTCTTCTAAGAGAGATTTGAAACACAACAACTCTAATACCCCATGAGCCATAGCCCTATTCTGCCTCAACTAAAGATCGGGCAACAACAGATTGCTTCTTATTCCTCTAGGAGACTATTTCCATCCACCATGACACAATAACCTGATGTGGATCTTCTGTCATCTATATTGCTTACCTAGTCAGCATCTGTATACGCTTCTAACTTCATTTGTCCATGCTTAGTAAAGAGTATACCTTTCCCAAGAGTACCCTTAAGATAACACAACATTTTCGCAGCAGCCATATATGTCTCTAGGAGCATGCGTAAACTGGCTAATCACACTCACAACATAGGAAATGTCTGGCCGTGTCATACACAGGTATAGAATCTTCCCCAACAATCTTTAAAACACTCCCTTGTCTTTCAAGAGCGCCCAGTCATCAACGAGAGCTTATGATTCACATCAATAGTTGTGGAAGTAGGCTTGGCCCCAAGTTTCCTAGTCTTAGTTAGAAAGTCCAACACATACTTTCTTTGGGAGATGAAAAGTTCCTCTTAGACCTAGCAACCTCAATGACCAAGAAGTACCACAACTCCCCCAAATCTTTATCTCAAATTCAGAGTTATGGAAGTATTTGTGATCATGAGTTTCATGTGCATCACTACCTGTGACAACAATGTCATCCATATACACAATAAGGAAGGTAACATGAGAAGCTCTCCTCTTCACAAATAGAGTGTGATCTAATTGTCTCTATGTGTAACCAAACTGAACAAGTGCAGTCCTGAATCTATCAAATCAAGCACGAGGAGATTGCTTAAGTCCATAAAGAGATTTTTTCAGTTTATGCACCTTATCTTGCATCTCCTTACCAAACATTCCAGGGGGAAGGGACATATACACCTCTTTTGTCAAGTCACCATTCAAGAAGTCATTTTTGACATAAAACTAGTATAGAGGCCAATCATAATTTATTGCCAAAGACAAGACCTGAGTAATCAATCCCATAGACTTGAGTATACCCCTTAGGCAACAAGGTGGACTTTATACCTCTTAATCTGTCCACTAGCATGGTACTTTATGGTATAAACCCATTTACAAACAACAAGCTCCTTTCTAGTAGTCCCAAGTATTGTTATTACGAAGTGCTTCTATCTCAGTTCTCATAGCATCCCTCCATTCTGGCTTGGATAAGGCTTCTAATACATTCTTAGGGACAAGTTGGGCTAAAATGGAGGCTAAGAAGGAATAGTCGGAAGGGAACAAAAAACTGTAAGAAAGGTGTTTAAAATGAATTGAGTAGTACATTTCCTTTTAGCTTTTCTTACAATAATGGGTAGGTCAAGGTTTGGGAATGAGGGTATTGGTTATGGTTCTACAGGACTTGTCCTCTCTTCAGTGATTGGAAGTTGCAGAGGCTTACTTGGAGATGGAGGAACAAGTTGTCCATATCTTAGTCCTTGACGTTGGTACCACCTCTGAAGTATAGGAGGCGTAGTGAACACAAAAGGACTAGGAGGAAGAAAAGGAGGTGAAAGAATGGAGGAGCCAGAAGGTTCAACTACTAGAGCTAAAGGAGCTGAAGGAGACTAATACAAGAGCCAATAGGAGCTGGTAAAGGTGGGGAAGAAGCAAACAACTCACTAGA